TGTAAGTGGTTATATAATTAATACTTAGAATCCTAGTTAAAGCCCAAGTATGGTCAGAGATGTTCCTTGGTGAGGGCCTTTGCCAGAACATTGGGAGTCAACCTTCCTGTCTTCCCGGAATGGAGTGAGAAGGGGGGCCCTGGTAGACGTCAAGACTGACAAAGTCCAGCTGTGGTGAAGTGGCTATGTAGCTGAGCTGATAAAGGAGTGAACCTGAGGGAGCCAGGAAAGAATGGAGATGACCATGCTGCAGTAAACAGGGACCCAGCCGGCTGGGGAGAAGACGACTGACTGGGGCTGACTGACTCAGGACTGATGACAAAGAACCTGACCTGACTGACTGGTGCTCCGACAATCTTTAGGCTTTATCTATTTCATTGCAGGAGGAGAGTCTCTGTTCTCTGATCTCTGTTCCCTAACTACAAGAGTATCTGTTTAAATACTACTCTACCCAGAATAATTGTAATATTAAATGATCCTTTAAATTGTAATGGTTTGTCTGAATTAATTTAGTTGGTATCTCACTCTTGCCACGACAAGAGACTTTCAATGTTTTCAAAATAAGAGCAATAACGTCAAAACGAGTTTCTTAATGGTTAATGACCTAATAAATTATATACCTGGACCTCCAAGAAAATTTTTAAATGACTTTTGTAAATAAAATGACCCACATACCAAATTTCATGAAAAGAAAATAAGTTACAGTTTAAATGATATTGAAAGGTTGAGCCTTTGCCCACGTAGTTCTCGACTTGCCCACGTCAGCTCTCATCACTGTAGGGGCAAAGCAGAGTTGTTTAATCTGGGTCTTTGCTGACTCATCGCTTCTTCTTTCAAGGCTGAGTTGCCCAGAGTTAGTCCACTCAACGGTGTGGAGACCAAAGCAAAAAAAAAATTTCACTGGAATATCTTTTGTGCTTTTCTGTGTTGGCCTGAAACTCAGTGAACAGGCTGCATCAGCACATTTCACTCCTTTGATCCTTTGGAGAAAAAAAAGACAGACTGAAGAGAGAAGGCTCTATGCTCCACATTCTATGTGCCATGGTTCTACTTTAACTTTAACACAAAGTCACATTTGCTATTTGAACTTTAAGATGAAGGGAGCAGAAGTATTGTGTATATCGTAGACCTCATAGAGAAAGGCTAAAAGGTGACAGTACTGTAAATCTAATCAAGGTTCACTGGTTCTTAATGGAGGAAAATGGATAAAATATATGGCCTTGGCTTGCACTCTCAGAGCTTTTATAGAGGCAAGGAAAAGAGTGGAGTTCATAGTGAATTGTGCAACTGTGTTCTTATTGGTGTTAGTACACATTACTTTCCTTCAGCCGGGGAATCTGTGATAGGATAAAGTTGGACAATTCAGACACTGGAAATATCCAAAGTAATACTAACAAATGTTGTAGCACCGTGGCAGACACACCGTAGTATCACCTGAACTGCATGTCTCAGTTCTGCAGAGTGGACTATACAAATAAACAAAAACACAGGGACACCGTAACACGACATACAACAAAATCATACAGGTACATTGTGTTTTGAATGGGACCCATCCTACACCCCTAGCACAGGGACGCATCCTGATCTCTGTTTGAGCTTTTTAAGACCGAGATGATGTAGAAAGGGTAGCAAATGCAGCACTGAGAAAGTATATCTACCTTACTGAATAAGTTCTCCCAGCAAGCCCATGCACATTGCACACTACAGTCTCTTTTAAAGGAAAAAAAAAGAGTCTCTTTTATGCAACTACTGTAAAACTTGGGTTGTTTGGGCTTTTGCCCATGGGAAAACTGCAGAAAGATACTGCATATCAACTGTATTTGTAAATCTAAGTTAACATGACCTTTCCACAGACTATTTGTATTCCAGATTAAAAAAGGTTCAAATAAATGTTGTGTCTTTACATATTCAAATGTGTTAATGGCACGGCCGTGCTTTGTTAAATGCTAATGCCACCATACAAGTTTAACAAGCTGGCATTCACCGTGCAAACATACCGATATCCTTGCTGAGTGTGCTAGCATGCTAACATTTGCTAATCAGAACTAAAAGAAAATACAGCTGCTGGTCATAAACCAAAGTAATGGACAGAAACTGAGATTTTCTTTTCAGAAACAATGTGCTGGTTATTCTGGATCCCTCACACTGAACCATTCTCTACCCACGATGTCGTCCCTATGAAACCAGAGTGACAGTGTCTTCTGTGGATCACCTAGTAATCGACACACTGGCTCAACAATGGCTTAACTGAGGACACAAAAACTACAGACCTTCATTAGATCTGCTTTGGTTCAGCAACATTAGGAAACAGTTTTCTCTTGTTTTGTGTTTACAGTTCAGTCCGAAACCCACAAGAAATGTTACTACGTTCAGTGTCCGACTGTGACCAAGCTCCAATCGGTAGTGATCTGAGTAAGTAGTACCTTTGATCAACCTTAAATTGCACAAGACTGAAATCTTCCTCATAGAGCTCAAACCACAAAGCATCCTGTCACACAGCACATCCTCGCCTCTGTGGAAATTCAGTGTTTCCTTGTTGTGTGTGTACCAGATTTGGTTGACCCACTTCCTGAGGCCAGACTGCCAGTTGTCATGGTGACGTCAACACATGGTGAAAGAAAAAAGGAGGAACCTAGATTAAAGATCTATACAGGTGACACTTTGCTAAATGTGTCAGACAACACAAAAAGTGTGAAACAAAGGGGAAAACTGTAAAACAGTTTGCCAGGAATACCAACATCCTTTCAGCCTGTCAGCTGGTTTCCAGGGAAATGTTCTCAGCCAAGAAGTCTGACACATAACCCCCTGTAGATCCAGTCATTTTAAAATTTGTTGTGGTCTTTGTGTGGGTTAATCAAATGAGATACACAGACCGAGCCAGGCTAGCTTTCGCCCTGTTTCCAGTCTCAACATAAAGCTAAGTGGCTGCCAGCTCTAGCTTCATGTTTATTGTCCTGGCAGGAAAGTTGTATCAATCTTCTCATTCAACACACTGCACACAGGTGAACTAAGTGTACTTCCCAAAAGATCTAGCTATTCATTTACAGCTGCAACACTGACAACATGGGCTCTTGCAGTAAATGTCCAGGGTGAAGAGGTGAGGTGTTGCATGACCTAAAAGATGGACCATGGTGACTTCCAATGAGCTCAAAAGAGTTTGGGGGCCAATGTTGGTGTGTGGAGGACTGAAAAAAGCCATTGCAAAAGCAATGAGGTTCAATCCATCAGCACTCTGGGGGATGGGAAGGCCGCTCGGTCCTATTTCAAAGAACTGCAGCTGGTTGTGAAGAAAGGGGAAAACAAGGGTTTTTTCTCCCCCTCCTCTTCTAGCACAAGTACATATCTGCTTGCAAAGGAAGCATGCTCTGGTTTGACTAGCTATACATTTTGTCACTCTACAAAATGGCATAAAGCAATAAAAACTATGCACACATGTGTTGCACCAAATATATTGTGCAAGTGTTAATCCAGTGTTGTCTTAACAATATACTGTACAACAATAACAAAGAACATTACAAATACTTTTTCCACACAAACCCTTCCTGCTCTCCATTAACTGAAGTAGGAGGCTCTGCTGAGAAATAAAAAAAAATAGACAAGGCAGGTCACATCAAGTTGTTTCAGATTTTCATCTCTAAGTCCTTCTGGAACCACTCCTGCTAAAAAGTATGCAACCAAAGTACTTCTGAATAATGACATAAGTATAATATGCACACAGGCAGCAACATAAGGTAATGTTTTTACCACAATCTTAATTTGCAGAGAGCAGCTAAACACATGGCCCAGACCACCCAGGAGCAGGGCAGGCTTGCCTGTTCATCAGTGTGAATCTCTGCCTTTGTCTCCAGAATGGCCCTAGAGCTAAAAAGCAGCACACTTGAAGACATCTGAGTTGAGTTAATGGAATGAAACTACAAAACTCTGATATCAGATGGAGACTTTGCTGGGAGTCCCTCAGTTTTCCATCCATGATTGAGGCCCTGAGAGCAGACCAGGCAGCCCTCCTCAGTATCGGCGTCTTCCTCTTCCTCTTCCTCTGCTGCTGCTCAGGTGTCCAGCTGAGCGCCTCAGCTTCTTCCTCTCTTTGTAGTGCTCCTGTTCTGCCTGCTGCTGCTTCCACTGCTGTTCCGACTACAGAAGAGGACAGAATTAAGCAAGTTAAATTATGTCCTGCTGTATTTCCAACACCTGTAGATTGATGACTTTGACAAAAAACAAAAAACAAACAAGTATTAAACACCACTCACTTCCAGGGAGGGTCAGAGGAGGAGAAAAACACTTTAAGGCCCATTCAGGTGACTTAACAAAGGACAGACCCTATGCAACCTTTTCTGTGTAACAAACATTTATTTAGGGGGTTCAAAGGTCTCTTGGCTTGCTTTGTCTTACCCAGACAACATTTTATTAATTCATGTATTGCTCTTATGCTGTGTTATGAAGGCTAAGTTAATTACTGGCCTATTTCTTATCATTATGTGGCTCAGTGCATCACTTTTACATTCTTTTCTATTCATTTTGTGCTGCAGTGAGAACTATCCCCCTATATTTGTGTTGTCTTTGTGACTATTATTAGTCATATTTTGCTCTTTATCTACAAATTTACAAAGTTATGAATATGTTATTATTAGTGCGTTATGCTGTTATAGAAAATACATCATTCAACAAATTTACTGTGGCTGTTTACAGTGTGCATGAGTTGATCTGTGTTTCTTGTGCAGCCTTTCTAAAAAGGCTCCTTAGCAATAAATATTGAGACCATTTCAGTATATTTTCTTCATCTTGCACAACTGCTGCACAACATGATTTATAGCAGATACACGTTTTGTATTTTCCTTGTTTGTACTTCACTGCTTGCCACAGTGGAGTGATGGGGAAGATTTACAGGAGAGACAGAGGACCATGTATTATAGGAGCAGCTCACCTTTTTGAGGGTGAAGGTCAGCTGTTTGCTACCCACTGCAGTGTCGGCCATGTTGCTGGTTTCTGAGTGCTCCTCCAACTTCAGGCGGTCCTCCAGAGAGGCTCTGTAAGGACACACACGTTGGTGAGACACAATAAACCAAACAGTATAAAGAGAGCACAGTGATATACAGTGTGTTTGTCATTATTTTGGTTCTTGAATGCACAGACCTTCAGCTTTAACCAAGGCTGTGTATATTTTGTACTACAAAGATTCATCATACAGGTTCTGTATGGAGTATAACCACCTTCAACAGCTAAAGTAATCTAATCAAATCTGGGTTTCAAAGTGTGCCCTGCACAAGCAGCTAGCACTTATATAACACATTTGATTCATTTCAGACATACTTCTGTAGTTTCTGCTTCTGGGCCATGTCGTTGAAGCTTCTGAACTCCTCCCCAGCTTTAATCTGGTAAAACTGAGGTTGACTTGTCTTCTTGCTCATGGCCGTGTTCGAGGTTTTCTCTCCTCCATTCTGTTCTGTCTCCAGCAACACGGTGTTGCGGTCTGCTTCCTTCCTCTCCTGTCGCCGCCGGTCGCGGCCCTCCTGTCGCAGCAGCCTTCGCTGCTCCCTCACCTCCTCCACCCAGCTCTTGTCGTCGTCCGAGCTCTCCTCTTCCGAGCTGGCTCGCCCCTCTGGCTCCTCTTCATCTTCATCAGCCTGGACAGAGATATTACGAAGTTTTGAAAGAGTTATTGGATGATGGAGCGCTGTAAGATGATGTCACACTTACTTTCCACATATTTCTAATACTGGTAAAGCCACGCCCCTCTGGTTCAAGCCAATTAAACTACCCCCTAAGACTTGTTTCCTTTGTCACATGGGGGCACGTCAAATAGTTGTACTTCAAGTGTGATGTCACATACTTGCATTTCTAAAGGCCTGGAGTCAAACATAAGATGACATCCATGTGCAGAAGAAGTCCAGCATTACCTGTTGGGACGCAGCAGCCTGCTGAGCCAGGAGACGCAGCTTCTTCTTCCTCTTCTGTCCAACCTTGGAGACGATGGGGTTGAGCAGGCGGAACTCCTCACTCTGCTCATCCACCTGGTAGTCGGGGTTTTCAAACATCACCTTGAAGCGGTCATCACCCAGAATGCTGGGGAGAGCCTGCAGGGGGAAATGATTAGAGTTAATGGTTAGGTAAAAACATCCATCCATTATCTATACCACTTATTCCTGAAAGGGGTCACGGGGTGGGAGGCTGGAGCCCATCCCAGCTGACAATGGGTGACAGGCGAGGTACACTCTGGACAGGGCTAACATGTAGACAGCCACACATGTTCACACTCTCTCCCCAGGTAGAAACATAGATTCTGAAAATGCTAAACCAAGTGATTTTTTTTTGTTCTTTATAGATGATGTAGTGGGAAAGCTATCCAGCTTCAGAGATACAGAAACAAACTTTAAAATTTGATTTTAACTTCAATCAAATTTTGGCTCGAGTTTCATAAAACAAAGTTCTCAGTCTTGTGAAATTTGCCAGAAAAAACACAATACAAAGAATAAGAATAAACAAGAACTCATGACAGTGATGGCATTTTTCAGAAATACTGCGGCAATGAAGACAGCACCTTCGGAGTTAATCATTTCAGAAACCAAAGGAGCACAGTGACGTAAGCACTTTGATTCTGTAATCTTTTTCTTACCTTGCCCTTCTTTTTCCTAGAAGCCAGCTCTGCTTCATCATCACCCTCCTCCATCAGCTTCAGAGCCAGTTCCTGGTTCACCCTGGGAAGCTTCTGTTTCAGTCAGAACATGGTGTATATGTCATTGGGCGCACATGTGTGAGGGTAAACAGCTACAGGCTGTAGCTAGTTCAAACCAGTTTTAAAGCTACACTTTACTGTTTAAAATGCTGCTTAGTGAAAGTCATACATCAACATCAAGAATGCACTATGATGTAAGAGAGCGTGAAAAATGTATGAAGAAGGTTATGGTATGTGTTTTCAGTACAAAGACATAGTTAAAAAGTTGTGATCTGTCCTTAGGGCAGAGACACACTGACAGGCTGAAGGGGCTTTCCCAAACCGTTCCCCTCTCTTGCACTGATTTACTAAGCTCAACACCCAGAGTGGTCTCTCTCTCACCCACGAGGCCAAACAGGCCAACATGTAAAATCACCAGGAAAGCCGATGACAGGGGACGACTAGCGCCAATGATGCAAGACACGCTGGTGCGTCTCTGCCCTTATACTAACAGAAAATGTGCTGCTGCTCTGTGAAGTGTGTGGAGGTGTAGGCGCTAGTGGGAAGATGAGACATGCTGTCAGGACCTCTCACCTTGACCTGTACTCTCTGGGCCCTGGACTCCTCAATCTTCTGGCGGATCTTATCCTTGCGATACTCCTCGTATGCAAAAGGATTTGCCATGCTTTTCACCTGTGGCCAAACCAAACAGCAAAATTGTCCAATTGAAACATTCGTCTTTCAAAACAGCTACAGGTTTACAGTAGGCTTTGTCTGTTATACCTTCATCTGTCTGAATTAACTCAGCTTAGTCTTCAGAATATGTAAACATGATGTTAATCCAGCAGCTAACACCGTACCTTGTGATAAAGCCTTATGTCCATGAAAAAGCCGTGCATGTAAGCTCTCAGGAGAGATGATCCCACCAGGTGAGACAAACCTGACATAAAGAAAAGCAAATCAACTATTCACTCAGGGTTTTTGTTAAATTAATTGAAGTTATATATTTAAGAAACTGATACATTATCTGAAATTATAAGCCCAAATATCTTTAGCCACATGATGCTAATGTTTAAAACTTTATCAAAAGCTTTGCTTTAGGACCAAATACCAATAATCAGAAAATGTTAGCATGCCAACACATACATTAGGACGATAACAGAAAACATTACACCTGCTAAATAGCAGCATGTTAGCGTTGTTATTGGGAGCATGCTGTCATGCCAATATTAATATTTAGCTCCAAACCCAGCTGAGCCTACTGAGTGCCTCAGAAAGTTACTAGACTGGCTGTACTCATGGTTTTGTTGTCCTTGCTCTTACAGAACGTCCTGAGAATCTCCCTCAAGAAATGACTCAGTCAGGCGTTAGTGGCAGCGTCAGCATGCACAGGTTGCTGTGACTGTCAATTCAATTTTATTTGTATAGCGCCAAATCACAACAAAAGTCATCTCAGGACACTTTACAAAGTAAAGTCCAGACCTTACTATCATCACTATTATTATAGAGGAAAACCCAACAAATCGCCCAGCAAGCACTTGGCGACAGCATTAACGGAAGAAACCTCAGACAGACCCCGGCTCTTGGTGGGAAACACATTTGTTATGTCACAGCCTGTAAGCATGTAAGTATGCATAGATGAGGAGAGACACAGAGAATGTGGTGCAAGCTGCTCTATGGACTACCTCTAGGTTACATGATGGGGTCACATTACGAGGCTTGCTGCTGTCCCACTGTCCCCTACTCTCCTTTCATTCCAGCCAGCCACCTTTCAGCTTCTTGTCATTTGATCCCTTTACTGCTGAGCCTGCATTCCAGTGTTCATTCAACCCTTCCAGTGTGCACTCCCTTGGCCCTCTGCCCTCCCACACTAATTTTCAAAGCCCCTCAGTTGTTTCCTAGGCCTTTAGCTAGTTTAGCCACCCGTCCTAACCCCCAAGGCAGAAAAGCAGCTCAGTCTGATTCATAGTTTGGGGTTTAACTTACAGGGCTGGGATTAAATTCCCCTCTTTGTACAGTGATCTCTGCAGCCCTCTGTGCTTGTAAATGAAAGTCTAAACATTTTAACTGCATGCCCTGCTTGTGAAAAAGGGAAAACTAATGCATGTAAATGATTTGTTTAACTTTTTTTCCTCATGCAACTGAAGCAGAGAGGTCTCACCCAGATTTTCCAGGTCCTTCCGGGTGACAAACTTGTAGTCATCATAGACTGTGCACTCTGGGCTCTCCTCCAGCTCCTCAGTCAGGTTGTCTAGGAAGGAACACCACCGAGGGGCAGGGCCCAGAGCCTAGAGACACACATACACATAGCCGACTCAGATTTAGCCTGTTGAGTATATTTGTTCAAACAAAAATAGACCAGCAGTCCCAGGTCATGTTTTCTCTGCAGCTAGAAATGACCAAGCTTCATTTTCCAGTTAATTATGCAGACATGTGAACCATCAACTGGTGACACAGCAAAGTGTCACTGCTTCTCATGTTTTCACAGCATAAGAAACCATTGCACTCCACTCTCCTCCTCACTTGACACTGTGCGCTTGAAATTCCCACACAGTCACCTGATATTACCAGACCAGGAGTTTACATTGTTTCTGAGAACATCTTGTCTTCAGCTCCTGGTCCCAGCTTCTGTGGAAATCTTTCTTTTATGTGACATAAGCTGAACATCTTTGGGTTTTGGACTGTTGGTTCAGATCAAACAAGCAACCTGATGACATCACCTGTTCTGGGAAACTATGGCGGCCACTGATAGAGACCAAACCAATAAGTGATTAGGCAACAGTAAGAACAATAGTATTTGTGCATTCCCAGGGCATCGGTCCTGTCTGAGCAGGTGTTATCAGCAGCTGAGCTCAACCCAATGAACAAACAACATGTAACTCTCCCCAGTCAGGTAGCTAAGGTATGTTTATTATCCTTCTAAATCAATAAGACTGAAGTCTTGTTGAGAGAAGTGAAACCTGTACTTCAGTTAAAATTTCAAACATGGTTATTTAATTTATTCCTCAAAGGCTGAATTGATGATCAAGGACTGCAACAGTACTCTGAAACATTTTATTAGTCATAGGTACACTTTGTGCTCGGTCATTTTTTTTAAAAGAAGGAATACTATTTAGTGTTAACATGATCAACAGTCAATTTAGGAAACTTGTTACACCCCTGGCTCTGTAATCATGCCTCCTCTCTGTGCTGGCTGTAAAGCAAGTCCTGTGTAGAGTGACCTCTGTGTAATGGGGGACAAAAGCCACAAATTCTTGCTGTGTTTGAAAATGTATTTTAAAGTCCAGCCAAATCACGTAGTTATCTTCAGCCTGCTAGTTGTTTGTAGCTTTATTGATTTAATGACGTTTTTTCCCAGCAGCAAATGGACATGTGACTAATAGTTTATATATCACCAAGAAAACACTGTGCAGGAAGTCAAACATAGGGCATTTCAAACTAAAGCCCCTGCAACTCTGGAAGAAAACCACTTGATGTGTCTGACTGTTGAAACTTCATATTAGCCTGACAATGCACTTTTGCCCAGAACAAGCACCTCGGATTGCGGTCCACATCTCCTAACACTATGAGGGTTGTCCTCCATGGCCACTATGGAGGAAGAGGATGACTACAGTGAGCCACAGCTCTTTGCACACACGGAACGTGACTGCTGTATTAAGACAGAGTCGAAAAATCCATTCTCAACCACAAAGGGGTCACAATCACAACAATGTGTCTAGAAGGCTCGTGATATACACCCAAAGCAATTTTTTACACTTCAAGGTCTTTCCTGCCCTACGCTCAGTTCTGTACCTGAATACCTCCTGTCTACACACATGGAGCACTGCAGTGGTTCCTCACACTACACTTTCTGTGGTGACCTGGTTTTAGAGGATTCTGTTCAGTGAACAAAGTGTGATATTTGTAAATGAAGGTTTAGTCAGAATGCTTTGCCTCAAGCTAACATTTCAAGGATTTCTTCTGCTGGTGTTGTGTACCTGGGTGGTGTTGAAGTCTCAGGTTGAGGGGACAGAAGAACAACCTCTCACTAAAAATGTCAGTCATTGAAATATCTAAAAAAAAGGTTAATGGTTAACGTTGGTCGGGTCAGACCCTTCTATGTTTTCTTTTACATCACAATCTAGTGCTGTTTTCCAATCCACAAATCTTGTTTGTTCTTACCGCCCCCATATGAGGGCACAGAAAACACTCAGTAAGGTGTAGCTAGGTTAAAGTGGGGCAGACCAAAGGTCAAAGATGCACTGACATTTCTCTCAGTTGCAATCAATGAATGGATGGATGGATAACGTCTTATGAGATGGACTACACTTGGTATTTCTGCCTGTTCTGTGGTGACGATGACGTCACAGAGCCACACACCGAGGCTAAAGTTAAAGAATCAGTGTCCAGTACTGTGTCTTCCTTTAATTTCATTACTGCTGAGCTGATAAAGCTTCCAGCTGTCCCACAGATATTATATGTGTAAGGTGAGGAGTCCAGGCTTTTTTTTTCTTTAACAACAGTTCACTACTAGTGTATTAGGAGAGCAGATCTGATCATGGTGTCAGGAAATCTGTTCCTGATTATGGGGTGTTTAAACCTTGGAACCACAGAGAAGACATGGTCTACCCATGCAAGCTTCAGTAGTAGGTTACTAGCCCCCAAGGTAGGAGTCAAGTGTATAGGTCAGGAAACCATGAGTCTTCAGCTTTACTGTTAATCACACTCACGTGACAAGCCAAAAACTCAGTTTTCCCTGTCCACACGAAAACACTGGAAACAGAGTTTCTAAAAATCTTCACCCTGGTCAGAGTTTTCCAAAAGCTCCATTTTCAGTGACCTAAAACGACGTTTCCATGTGGACAAAAGGCCAAAACGCATAGAAAGAGCTGTTTTTAAAAATACCCATGTACATGTGGACAGGGCCTGGAACTATTTGATGATCAAAAAAGCCATTTCAGCTGTAGTTCCATCATGCATTTCAACAACAAAGTGATGCATTTACCCTTCTCTCTATTGCTGAACAGAGAGGCCGGAGTTTATTAAGCCCATCATGTTCGGAATGTACCCATTTACCCAAAGCACAGTCTAGTTTACTGTACACTCACAGAACAACACACTGTAAGTTCATATTATGACAGACTGCTGGTGGCAACAAGCTCCGTCCAGCTCCACTCATCATGCAGCAACCTTGTTTCACAGTAATGGTAGAGAAAAGAAACAGCCCGTACACACTGTTCCTTCTGTGACCCTACAAAGCACCTGAATCACTGAGGTTTGTAAACACAGCTGCCCCAATATCCTTTATTGTACCATAAAGCATTTGCCTCAGATATGTGCATGCAAGCCGTGCACAAGACAAACAGGGCGTGAATGTGACCTGGTTAAGAAAGGGCTGTGTACTCACTGGGATGTAGAACGTGTTCATCTTGGAATCTTCATTGGCAGTGAAGAGCATACCTATCAATGATACACAGGATGATGAGGATGGAAGCAGGGCAGAAGTTAAAAGAGCTCATCTGTGACGTAAACACTGTCATGTATATTTGAAGGTCCTATTACAGTTCATAATGAAACAGGCATGATAAACAGCAAAGGTTGCCAGTTAACATTTGAATTTGAGGAAGTCAGAATTACCTTCTGCCTTAATAAGGAGAAGGGGATTAGAAAACTGTTTAAAAAAAATCAGGCAGCTGAAAGGTAGTGAACAAAACATACATTTGTGAGCTGAATCTTTATTTCATTACTCCATAACAGCCTAAGGTTGAAACCTCATTTAAAAAAAACTTAAATAGATAGAGATAATCCTTTATTGTCATTGAAACACAGAAATATCACAGTAATATTTAAGGCAGGTTGCTCCAGCAGGTCGGAACAGCTTTCTTTCCAACACTGAATCTAATAACACACTTAACTATCTTTGCTTGTATCTTTGTGTGTGTGAGTGCACATGGCAGGGCCTGAGAGTATATGTGTCCACTTTTTCTCCAGCCAGGTATGAAAACGCCCCCTTTGGTGAAATCATGAATATTAAGTAGCTGTCTGCATACATTTTTTAAATTACCCTCTAGGCCGCAACCCCCACTGCAATGGTTTATCCTGGGCTTCCTGTTTATGCTGTTTTTCCTGTTGTACTGTTGATCACAGTAAATTATGGCTGTTGAATCCGAG